TCACCGAGTCACACCTTGGGGAGGTGTACTCTCTGCCTGAAGTGGAATTATCATGTAACTATTGATTGTTTTCTTTTAAATCTAATCTGAAATTGTCCAGAAGTAGTCTCATGAAAGATTTTGAAGGTTTGAAGTTGGCTCATGTATGGTATTTTGGTATTTTGAGAGGCTTTAACTTTGAAATGGTACATCAGAATGTCCAGGTTATACCAAAGTGACACCTTGGGGATGTGTACTCTCCATCTGAAGAGAAATGATCATGAAACTATTGATTGTTTCCTTTTAAATCTAATCCGAAATTGATTAGAAGTTGGCTGGTGAATGAGATTGAAGAGAACGTTTGGTAATGTATGACATTTCGCGTCGCTCCACACGGTTAACGGCGAGTTCTTTTCTAGCCGTCCGGCCAGTGGCCCAACGTGGGGAGTAGGGAGGACCCGTCCAACGCTGCTTGCAGCTTTAAATTAAACTTGTGTTTTCATTTAACCAACCATTCGGCTCATCCCTTACTATCTTTTCACTTTATTATTTTACATAATAAAACTTTTTTCCAGAGGAAGTTCTATTGCAGTCCTGTTTAACATAAAACAGCAACAACACACACCTGTTTTCTATTAACACAACAATACTTAATGTTTGAGAACTGTTATTTGTGCTAATGTATGCATGGTTTAGGGGCGAGGGAGTGGGAGAGGTCAGTTATAGTGATCCTAAAGTGTAAATATATGAGGATAAGGAGCATGTACATATTGTACATCTTACATATGAGGTTACATGAGAGTTGCCTCTTCTCTTGTTGTCAGTTGTACCCGTCTGCCCCCTTGTGAACAGAGAGGATACGGCAGCTACATCCAAGGAAAAATCCATCTTACTCTCTAGTATCAAGGCTGAAAGGTCATTTTTGTACATTTTGTAAATTTTCTCATCCAGAGTGGAAAAAAAACCTTGTTGATCATGACAATTAAGGTGGACACGTGTGCACGCAAACACACATACTGTCACCTACACAATCACTCATTCACAGGCCTAAGACCACCAGGCTGCAAATGAAGGTGAGATGTTGGATGAATGTGGGGGAGCTGTCCTCCCACTCAGTGTGAGAGGCAGACAAAGAGCATTTAGTCTATTTCAGTGCCTGGAAATGTGAGGTCTTTTCTTTACGGTCATGACTCACTCGCACAAATGCAACCTGACTTCGGTTTACATCCTTGCATCCCTGTCTAATTTTGCGTGTCGTTTTAAGGAATAAAATGTCTGCAATTGGATAAATGTAAAAGAAAATGCAGAATATGTCTCTGTCATAAAAGACCTCTAAATTGAAAACTAAATAAAAAAAGTTTGATTTTGATCACAAGTAAAAGCACACATTTACACTGAATATTACAGCAGGGAAAGTGAATAAGTATCCATAAGGTTAGGGATTTAGGTAAAAGAAATAGAGTTTAAAAAAGGAACAAGCTCACTTCAGCTACAGGAGGTCGACTCTTAGTCGGTAGAAATTAAGGTTGAAGTCCATGTGGTACGTTGAAACCTCTAGCTATATATATATACGTATATATACATATGTATATATGTATATATACATATATATATGGCAGTTTAGGGCAAGTACAAAGCGTAATGTTCTGCAGGCCGACAGAACTGCTTCGTCCTTTGCAAACGCAGCACTGATACTTGACCTGTGACCTGACAAATAAATCGACCAGAACGAGAGAAGTTGTTTGGCTGAATTCTTCCAGATGTCCCCAACCGGGCTTCCAATTTTGATCAGGTTCGTTTCGTTTTTTTCATTAGGAAAGTCTTATACGCTACTGGAGGATGTAGAGACTGTTTTTCAAGTCCTGCCTCAAAATACTTGCTGAAGGCAAACAACCTTAAAACCAGTCGAAAATTAGGTCATATTGTTGTTATAATTCAATAATCAAAAACAAACATTGAGTTTAACTTGAACTACATCGTTCGCCGTATGATCTAAAATAGAGGAGGTTCATCTATTGTACGCATGTCATCACTGTAGATCTCAAATGTAAAACATTCCTGGTGATCAAATCATCAATATATATATAATTATATATAATTTATATATGGTACAGATTGAATCTCGTCTGTCTTCTTTCTCAGTCGTAACTGCCCTCTTGTGGATAGACACGATACGTCAGCAGTCTATAAGGAAAGATTCGGTTTCTTTCAGAAAAAATAACACTGATATGTACACGCACAGCACACACATCACTCATTCACAGGAATGAAATGTACAGTGAAACAATGCGTGATAAATGCGATCGCACCTGTGTGTGTCTGCTGTGTCCTCCCACTCAGTGTGAGAGAGTTTAGTCTATTTCAGTCACTGGATACGTGAAGTCTTTTTTTCACTGTGATTCACTCACACATTCACAATCTGACTCCTGAAGAAGAAAAATTATGCCCTCAGTGGAGTGGAGGCCCCTGTAGTCAATGACAAGCAAAAGCCTTCCCTCACTCTCCAAGACCATTGTATCTCCAATTTACTGTTCGTTTGTAGATAATATCTCTCTGTATAATTTGATATATTCATGTTCACCGTTTTCTTTACAGTTTTGGACCATTACAGATGGTTACTATTGCACGGAATGAATTGAGTCTGAGTTTGGCCTCTCAGAGCCTTAAAAACAGCCTTTGATGTTCTGGTAAATTCAAAGCTATTTGCTTCTTCGTGTGGTACATAAAGCATAGCCGAGCTGCTCACGGAAAAAACAAAGACATTTAAAGATGAAGACCTCCGTGGCTGTTTTGACTGTATCCCTCTTTTACCTTAGTCTAGCTGATGAGCATCAATGGGACCGCCGAGCACCAGAAGGCAGTAGAACAGAATGCCGCGGCCCACTTTGAAATCTGAAAATCTTTTGCGGCCCACCCAAACCTTTAATCACAACTCTGATCAAAACATAAACTAGGGATGATTAAATGACCTTAAGAATCTAACCGATTAAAAATGTATTAACCGACAATGTATGTTTTGTATTTTCTCCGGAGCTCATGTGCTGTGTTTTCCGCACAATAAGGCGCATAAGATACTGCAGTCTATCAGCGCAAATCACTGTCAAAATTCGAGAGCGCAAATCAGGGGGGATGCGCGCGCGTAAATCAAACATCCGCCAGCAAAAGTCCGTCTCGCGCGAGTTATTTGCTCGCTTGCGAAACGTGAACATCCTCCCTCGCGAGGAGAGTCTCTGCTCGCGATCGAAGGAGTTTTCTACGCGCTCGCTGTTTTTCTTTCTGACAGTAAGGGGGCGGAGCCAGTCACCATGGTATCTACATCTGATTGGTTACAAACCGCGTCTTTGGATTGGCTGGAGTGATGCATTCACACAACTATAGAAGCCCATTTCCGCACTGAAGAAAGGGGATAGAAAGTCGAAATTATGAGATTAAACGTTGTCAAAACACAAACGACACCTTTATGTAACCGTAGTGGACCGTAGATGACAACCAGCTACAACCATCATTTACCATCATTAAGACCAATGCCGGCGTAGCAGTCAAACGTTTGGCGTCGGGGCGGGTGGAGACGGTGCTTTAAGGGTCCGATCGCTGCGAGGTGCGTCCGCTCCCGCCGCCCCCTCGCCATCCACGCCTTAAATCTTCGGCTGCTTTTAGAATAACTTATTTCCCCGTTAAGATGGTTCAGCTACTGTAGAGAAAAGGGCGTCGTCTCTCGCTCTTTAGTCTCATGAAGTGCTCGGCAAGAACGACAGCTTTGTTTCTCCGACGCGCCCTGAAACAAGCTCCACATCTCACGCGCTTGAGCGCCGCTCAGCATCTCGCCGTCGTAGACGAGCTTTGGCGTGTTTGGCAGAGTGTACAACCAGTATGGATCAACCGATTAACCAATCCGTTCGTTTAAATTGTTTGTGCTTCATCAATAAAATGTTTCACACAACTAACGTGCCGCATCATACATATTTGTATATTAATTTCAAACTTTTCAAAATTGAAAATGAAAAACTTTTTATTTATTTATTGTAAATGACCTCTCGCGGCCCACCTGCAGTACCTTCGCGGCCCACCAGGGGGCCATCCATCCATTCCGGGCATAATGTGTTCATGTGACATAACTGGGAGCAAGTAGAGCAACTCCCAACTTTTTGTCATTTTAAGGGAACTAGAGTCCAAACTGAGAAACAATCTGAGAGAACAGGGCCAAGGTAAGAACATTTCTTCTGACTCTTTACTGTTGTTGTCATTTTTAATTGTTTTTTTATTAGGTTGTTTCAGGTTTAGTTGTCTTCAAACAAAATAAACATTATTATGACTTCATCAACCCTATCAAGGTAATCGGGTGGCGTTTGGAGCATCAATCGGCAATGTTAGAAATACTGGACCATTTAACGTTGACACGACACTGACCTATAAGACCGTCTTCTTAAACACAGGCGCATACAATCCTGCAACAGGTAAACTTACAATAACCACTTGTATTTATAGAAATGTATGATCAATTGTTAAATAAATACTGCCTTTAATGAGAAGAAATGGCAACAGGTGTACTCCTCTATTCATCATCAGGTATTTTCACTGCTCCAGTGAAAGGAGTCTATTACTTCAGCTTCACTGGCCATAATGATCAATCCAGAAACAGTCACCTGGGACTGATGAAGAACGGAGAGCGGATGGGTTTTTTGTACAACTACGCAGCTGGAGACCACTACAACACAGCAACCAATGACTCTACAGCTCTACAGGTGTACGCACAACTCCATCGAAACACCTGGATTCATGATAACAAAAACCTCAGCACCTTCAATGGTCATTTGTTATCCCCTGTGTAATGATAGTGGTTGCTATTTGACCTGATGTCAGTAAGCTCCACATTTTGTTACATTTAACTAAATCCCAGAAAAAACATCTGCTTATAAGAGATAAATCACTGTGATGTGGGTACATTGAAAACTGTACACCTATTGATATTATGTTTGCCATTATAAGGCGTTGTTATTAATAAAATTACACACACGTTTAAAAACTGCACACTGTCATTTATTTTTCATTTCATATGTGTTACAAAACTTAAAATAAAACATTCATTCAACACATGTCAACCAATTTAGACCACACTGTACTTCAGAGTAAAAATCACATTCCCTTGTGTTTAAATTTGTACTTACTAAGTCTACACATTTGAATACATTGCTAAAAAACTATTGCTTTTTTCATTATTATTATTACAGACTGCAGGTTCTGCATGTTTATTCCATGTGAACTATTGGTGGTTTAATATCAAAGCGACTGGCTCTAGAACTGCATTAAGTGATTATCTTAGCTTAGAAACTGGGAACAATTAGCTTCACCCCTTGCAAAGTCAAAACGCATAAAACAGGTCGCCAGCAATAAATACTGTAGTTACACACATAACTTCTTCTATAACGCCACAACTTTTCATTTGAAGTACAAAGAAACAAAGGACATACAACCTGTTTTTTTCCTGCTTCCACTTTTTCTCGCATGGTGAACCCGTCCCTGCGGCTGGGGTCAGACTTAGTGTCTATGCTGTCACGTTGGTTTGAGTTCACATGGTTCTGTGGTTTGACAAGAATAGAAGGCGTGAAAGCTTTTCGATATTCTAAAGTGAGATGCGGTTTTAGGACGGGACGTCTGCAGTAGTTGGAAAGTGGCAGTGTTTTTGTTACTGTGTTGCTGTTTCTTTCTCAGGCTGAGAGTCCTAAAAGGTCAAAGCGGACCAGCCGTGGCATCCACTGCAAATTAGTGTCATATGATCCTGCTAGCTTTTTGCTCAACTCACATCACATGCAGCCATTGCAATCCATGCAACCACACAAAGGGAATCTATTCACTCCTTCCCCGTTGTGTCCGCTTCCTTCGTTTTCTATCAAAGTCACGTCTTGTGTCAGCGGGCACCCGAGGGTGGACAGGCTGCGACAATGCGAAACATTTATTTCTGCAAGCTTAAAACAAACTGTATGTCCGTTTCCACACCTCATGCGCGAGGCTGCCGCAATACAGGAAGCCTTGTACCATCCACCCTTCCTCTCCTCCACGCACTCAAAGCCGAATGCATCAGCAGAACGAAATGCTGACGTAGCACAGATTGTAGATGTAGAGGCTTTAGACAAAGTGAGTGAAATGTTGCAGAGAACATGCTGATGGAGATGTAGTGCACATGTCGTAGGAGGCCAGGCGGGCAGATCTATGACATTCAAGATGAGGGTTTGTGTCAAAATCACAGTAAGCATAAGATGGTGTCACATTTGAGCAGGTGTAATATCAGTTTGAATGCTGCTAATTATATGTGTGTATGCTTCCATACGGTTATAAAAGTCATGCAAAAACCACTATGAACCTGTTTATAAACCAGTCCGGTTAATGGATAACAGTTTTTTTTGTAACATCTTTTGGAATCAGTATTAATATCAAATTGATGATCAGTATAAGTAGCATTTAACTGTTGTAGTTAGTTAAATTGCAGTTAGTTCTAACCACTCGGTTCTAGTTCAGTAAATGTCAATATGAATCAGTATTAAATCATATTTGCGTCCATGTTGTACACAGTTGCACAGACCATTTGATTTACATATATATACACAATTAAAAACATATTAACATCCAAAATGAAATCTCTAAAACTGGATGTTATGTTTTCTTTATGATCTTAAACTAGACGTAGTTACTGAAACTGTCAAATGAATGTAGTAAGAGTGTAAACAATTGTCCCTTTGAGCTCAACGTTCTTTCCCTCTGATGGGCAGTGACGGCCGTCCTGTTTGCTCACAGAGTTACGTGCTGTTTTACCGTGAAGCCACGTTAACACATTTGACCACTTGCTAGGATCAGAAACGTGTAGCTCAGCAACAAAATTAGCTTGCACACTTATTTCAACAGCTTCTTTTGTGCCGTCTGTTCCCCTTTTCTTATCTTCAACCACAAAAATGATCCACGGAAAAAACGTGGCCCTCAGATATTACGCGACATTTACTGAAAGCCACACGAGACGTTAGATAACCAGTTTCACTTGCTGCAGGTGGTCATCGCTCTCCCCGTACAGACCTGAATAGTGAGCATGTCTCTGCTGGATTGGATTTGATAATCTGTCTGTGGTCAGAGGGACACTTGAGGCAGCAGCAGCTCATGTCCCGGGCTGAGGAACGGTTCACAGAATACAAGTCTGCAGTATGTGCGGCTGAACACAAAAAGCCTCCTCTGTCCTCGCCCCCCCCCCCCCAGCAAAACACGCCTACTGGAAACCGTACCCACTACCCAAACCACTGGAAAGAGAAGGTTTTTTTTTTTTAATTCAAGTGGACCCAGGACCACTTACTCCATAACACGGCCGCGGTGTTGAAGGCCTTTCAGTAAACATTCAGAATGTGAAACTCTTTTTCCTCTCGGTGAAGAAGTGTCAAATATGGCATCTAGTGCCGCGCCTTTGACCGCATTGTCCTCTGAATACCAAGAAAAGGGCCCGGCGAGAGCTGCAGCTGATTCTAGTCAAGTTTATCATTAGTCTGTTGGTTTCATTTAATACATCTTAAAGTTTCACATGACGTGGGAAGATATTGAACATAGGCTGAAGGGGACAAACAGAGTCCCAAATCTTCACAGTGGTGAAGCTGGAAATAGAAAATAAACTATTAAGTAACTGTCAATGAACGCTTTTGTTGACTAATCCATTCGTGGGAGAATCACATTCAAAGCACCCCAAAATGAAGACTCTTTATGTCACAAGCAGAGACGAGCACAGTACACAGCGTTACGTAAAATGCTTTTTGTATTACAAGTCCTTCAAACTGACAGGTGGATGGCAGAAGATTGTTTTTCCGAAGGGAGATTTAACAATTACCGTAAGTAACACTTTTAAGAAAAGAAAGAAAAATAACCAAACAAGCTAGATACTACGGACAAACATGGCTTGCCTTTCACTGAAACGTAACACTAGTGGGTTAAAGACACTCTGCTTTTCTCGTTGGACCAGTACCTCGAGAAACGGCCCGAACCCGACCCTGAGACAGCAGGTCGGACACGAGCTCGGCCTCCTGACAGGCGCGTGGAAATGGGTTCGCTCCACTTTGACACCAAAAAAACTAAACGTAGGTTGTTCACTGAAACCTGCTAAAAAGTTCTGATTGCCATCAAGACGCACTGCAGAAGAAGAAGAAGAAGGAGAAGGAGAAGGAGGGGCTCATCCGTTGGCACAGTCACAGGCGTTTTGTTGGGAAGGCACTTGACATGGGTCCACGCGTTCCCCCATGCAGCGGCAGCAATGCACGGCGGTCCTTGTTTGTGCACGCTGAGGAGGGACACCGTCAGCTAAGTGCAAGTTCCATGAAGAATCAACTTTCAGCACACCGGCAAAGGGGAGGGATAAAAACTAGAATACAAAGTCCTAACACAACTCAACCACAATCAACAGGTTTAAATACAGTATCTTAGTGGGTGGCGATCGGCGCTTCTTGGATCACGCCTGAACTTTTTGGGGGTAAATAAATTGAGGGGATCTTTGTTGGAGTAACCTGTGCAAGGCTCGAGTGGTGATTGATGCCTTTAAGAGCTATTTTAAGCGGGTTTGGGCACTGCTGCTCTCAGGCAAAAAGAAAGAAAGAAAAGTAGACGAATCCAAAGTGACTCTTGATGTAACTCCACCAACACCACCACCCCCCACCCCCAGGCAGGGGGTCCGAACAGTACAAATCAACAAATAAAACCACACAAACAATTTGAATAAGTGTCTCTTAGGTTTCACAATAAGACATTCCCATTGAGGCACATTTCCAGAGAAGTGTCATATACAAAGCTATAAAAAAAAGAAAAAAATCCCAAAACATTCAAGTACTTGTCATGTAAACACTTTTCCAGACTATAATACATAATCGAAAGTTGTCTTTGTCGATTTGTGTGCAACAATAAAACATCACGTGTGAGGAGAGAGAACAGATTTGCAAAACGCCTGCTGGAAAAATTAGAAGCTCAAATTCAGCACGGATGCACTTGTGTCTGTATACGTTTCCCCCCCACACACTTTTTCCTTCTTTTAGAGCAGGACACATGAGCAGCACTGGTTTCCCCCACTGGGAACACTGGAGTAGTTCATCTGCCTGACTATTTCTGCAAACAGTTCGTCGACTGAGCCTTTATTCTTGGCCGAAGTCTCGATGAACGGGCAGCTCCAGTCCTGCGCCAGCGCCTTGCCTTCCCCGGAGGACACCTCTCGCTCCCCCTCCAGGTCCACCTTGTTTCCCACCAGGATCATGGGCACCCTCTCGTACCTCTTCACCCGGATGATCTGGTCTCTCATGGGCTTGATGTCCTGGAAGCTCTGCTGGTTCACCAGGCTGTAGACCAGGATGAAGCCCTGGCCGTTCTTGATGTACAGGTCTCGCATGGAGGCGAACTGCTCGGTGCCCGCCGTGTCCAGGATCTCCAGCACGGACGGGGACGAGTCCACCTCGATCTCCTTCCGGTAGAAATCCTCGATCGTGGGGTCGTACTTCTCGATGAAGGAGCCCGTCACGAACTGGACCGTGAGCGCAGATTTCCCGACTCCACCCGACCCCAAAACAACCACTTTGTACTCCCTCATGGCTCGCGGGGTTGGAGGGCTGGTGGTGGAGGTGGGGGGGGGGAGACACCTCCCTTTCTTTTTTTTTTTTTCTAGCTACGAAGCCTGCTCCCACCCGCCGACCAGCCCCGACGTTTCCCGACGCAGCGGCCCGGGGGAGGCTGTCCTCTGGCTCGGATAGGAGTCAAACGCCGCGCCGCCGAGTCCCCCCTCGCCCGCCGTGCGACGGCCGCGCAGCGCAGATCCGAGCAGCAGAATGGCCGCGCCCGCGCATCAGCGGGGGGAATCCGAGTACATGTTGATCGAACCGTATAGTGCGACGGCGCGGGGAAGCGTGATCGCCTCCCTCTCCTCTCGCGCGGCGTTTCCTGCCCACATCCTCCGGCGCGTCAGAAGCCCGACGCTCACTTCCGTTCTCTTAAAGGGGACGTCGCCCGGCAGGCCGCGACGTCACGTGACCGGCGGTCACCGCTATGATCGAGGGCGCGTGGAGCCGTGACGGCGGATAAGAAACGCGTCCCCATTGAGGTCAGAGGTGAGAACATCTGTATGTGTCAGCTGACTCACGCTGGAGGAAGATCCGTGATCGTTTAACAATCACATACATGTACGCATGTATATGTATTTATGTTCAAGCACTACATTGACATTGCAGCCGAAAAACGAGAACCATTGTCTTAATTATGTGATGTGTAGTTAAAGCGATACAAGTAACTACTAATGACAACAGAAACGAAAGTACAACATTGGCTTCCAGAGTGTAGTGGAGTAGAGGTATAAAGAAGTAAAATAATAGAAATACTCAAATCAGGCCCTAAGTACCTAAAAGTGACACTCAATCATAATGTATAATAATTACCAGCACCTCCTGTACTTTAGTAAAAGCACCAATATACAAGTACTACGTCCCAAATCCAGCATTGAAAGTGTAAAAGTATCATAAGTAGTACTCAGTACTGATGAGTATACGTATTGTGCTGACACATTATATCATTGTATTAGTACTACTGATGTATTATTGTACACCGAATGAAGCATGACCTTCTTCAAAGTCATCGTCTATTTTCATCTCATTCAGTAAAGTACAAATATATGTCAAGGACCAAAAAGTATAATATTTATCCCTGAATTGTAAAGTAAACTGAAATATAAATACCCAAGTTCTTCAAATACTTGGCATTAGTATTCCACTACTGGACGTTTTTGTTGTTTTTCCATCTTCATGTTACAATAGTTCATGTGCAGCCGTGGCGTCGTAGGTGGGTATTGGGTCTGGGTCGGTATTTGTTTCTACAATCTAAGGTGTTACTCACGTTATTGTGTTACTTGTCTTTTGAGGAGTTTTCATAGCCGTATTTGACAATGATTAGATACGATTCCGTGTGAGTGAAGTGAAACATTGTCACACAATACTACGAAAAAGGAAATTCTCCTTTTTTATGCATTAACATCCAAGTGTAGCTTGAAATCTAATCTGATTATTAAATTCTATAGAAACCATGACGTTTCTATTGTTTATTGTTCTTGATCTGGTGTGGTAACGCGATCTGACAGACGTCACATGGCAACAAAATGTCTTGCTGACATCCTGAATGGCGGCACGACGAGAGAATGAGAAGCCCGGCCTATTCTAGAATAATTTATCAACAGAAGATACGTTTCAGATTGAAGAAATTGATGTTTCCGAAGCCAAAAACATGAAAATACTTTGTTTTTTGTGTTATTGCTTGTCAATAAACCTGTCGATAGAAATTTGGGAGTGGAAATCGCCTTTCAGTGTTTTGAATTTTGGAGGTGCCGCCTCCTTTGTTTGCATCCGTATCACAGGCTGAAGTCCCTGTATGCATAAGATACCGATGCGAACTGAAAGGGCCACAATCTCTCCACAACACTTAAGAGGGAGAAATAAGACCTCCGATGAAACAAGATCCACTTGTGACCCAGATAAACTACACATTCTAGTAAAAATGTCCCTGCAGCAAGATCAATTTAATTAATATTATTATCAGTCCCTACGGAGGTACTCCAGTCCTGCTGACATTAAACCCTCAAGGTTGAAGTTCAGAAACAATGACAAATATAAATCTGAGAGCCTCCTCCTTTACATATGAGACATACATACTGTTTCTAGGTTATTAAACAATAAGTTGGAGATAAATAACTGAATCCCCTGAAATGTCCCTGTTTACTGACTTGACTCACACATCCAGCGCACAGAGACAGCAAGCACACTCCTGTTGCATGAGCAAATCAAATATTGTTTTATTCAGATTTGAGATTCAGAGTCAATTATGGCAACAATAAAATATGCATAAACAAATCCGAAGACAGAATAGTACATTATTGTGTGGCAACTGTTAAGCAAATACATAATTGAATGGTTGCACTTACAAGTAAAAAGCAGTCAAAGCATACACGTGCCCCCAGCAGGGAAGAGAAACCATGGCTCCAGCCAGCAGACCGAACATCTGGCTCGGAGAAAATGGTGCTTTGGTTCTATAGCAACTAAACACAGAAGCCTCGGGTCACAAACATGACGACCAGTGGGCTGTTACATTCATCTCAACGACTAATTGGCCAAATACGCATTTGGTGTGGTGAGCCTTCACCTGCTGAGTGCACAGCTAAGATAGCAGGAAGTTCTTCCCGTGAGTCAGTGTCCACTGTAATTATATGGCTATGAGAAAGTATCTGGGGTGGATGAGTGCTAATATTTGATCATTCTTTAAAGAACACATTTGCATGGAAAACATTGTTATCACACAAGAGTAAGATGACTTGTTTTTGAAGTATTATTTCTCCCCGCAGTGGATGTTATCTAACATACGTGTAATTTGCACACAAGAAAAAACAACATATTTCTATGTATTCTGTAATCCGAATGTGTTATCATTCTTTACATTACTACGCATTGTATTTTCTTTACATGTTTTTACTTTTACATGCAGTCAAATCAAATTATAATAAAATACACATCATGAAATTTTAATGAATCAACTGTACCATGGGAGCATCAATACTGCATGACCAAGTCTAACCAATGATATATGCATATTATTGGATATGTCATCCCACAGGAGGGGCGGAGTAAGCGTGACACGGGGACATCTATTCCCCTTCGACATTCCCTGGCAATACTACTGATAAAATAAGACAAAAAGCGCATAGCTTTCTCTGAATGCATTGGCGATTTTAAACTAGTGCCCTTCTCCGCAAGCATTTATTTTAGCTGGTCTTCTAATTCAAGAATTTAAATTAATCTAACAAAATTCCTTATAATTATAGATCTTTTTTTATTCAAAATAATATCTCAATATGATACACATTTTTTTCTCTGTTCATTTGACTATATACAGAAGTGCAAAAAGTCAACCTTCGTCCCTTAGGTTAGAACGCATTATCTGCAGCATCACTGACCTCTCCAGTCAGGAAAAGTCTTTGCTTTCTCGCTCCTAATCTCACAATCCAACAAACATCCAAAAACCCGTCAACCTCACTGCTCGTTTTGGCCTGACATTCAGGGCAAACTTAAGAAATATTCCAACAAAAGTACATATCTTTTTTTTTTTAAATGGATACAGTAGAAAATAATTTTTACTCTAAAACATGGACAATCTATATTTCAATACAATATATTTTCAAACATGATCTTGACATGTTACAAGGAAAATTTAAGTTGGTTAAAACATTAGTTGTTTTTTTGTCTGCTCCGAGATGCCGCAGTGGCAGCAAATCAACTGATCTCATTCCTTGTATCAAAAAAGTCTTTCATCCACAAAATTAACTGACAATGTAACACCATCTGAAATAAAAGAACATCCAGCTCTATGAAAGAAGTGAATATTTAAAACTGACTCAACACATTATCCATTATATGGTTTGAAAAGTTATGAACGTCATACTACCTCAAAATCTACTACGGCGATATCAATGTCGTCAAGTAATATATAGTAAGGCAAAAACAACAAAAAGAAAATCTACAACTACATACCTCAAATAGATTAAAATCCTTAAGTAGTACATAACACAGGAGTTCAATTAAATTTAAGAGAGCAATTGTTACTTTTACATGAAGATAAAGAACAAAAAAAGAGATCATAAGCGGCACGTGACAGAAATATAAAACATCATTGGTGTTCTTTACCTGCACGGTGATTGAAAGTACATTTGATTGGGCCGGGACCCATTAATTGTAATCTAAGGCTTCGTTAGGTACATTACAATCGGTAAAGACACACTACACACCTCTGTGAAAACAGAAGAGAGATGCGATCATAAAATTGATGATAAATGAAAGATGATAAACATTTTTCCTCAACTAAGCCTCTTAAGTGACGCTTCCGTAACCATTTGTGAGCATGATTGAGAGAAAAAACTGTGCTTTGGTTTGTGTAGTCAGATCTACGAGTGAATGGGAACCTTTGCACTTTGCTCGGAAATACAAACACAGAGAATGCTGCTTTTCCTCAAAAGCGAAAGTTCACATGGGATGAGTGGTGAAATTAAAACTGGGGTGACCAGACAAATATTCATTCAAGTGCACATGCGGTTTAAATGACCTAATAGACCTTTAGGTCTGTTGTTTTAAATCCCCTTCGATGGCTCATCAGTGCTTCTTGGAGGCACAGTTTCAGAGTTGCTCCTCTTCAAACGAGGGAGAACAAGGTAACACGGTGTCAACTGAAGCTACACCCTCTGCTTCACCACGCTTTATAGTCAAAGGACTCGAGCAACAACTTAATCCCAAACTTCAAATTTAGATTTCAAAAGGAAAAAAAATTAAAACCATATTTGGCAAGAACCCCACTTGTAAAACTGATTATTTAGATAAACGAAGTTTTTAAAAAAAGAACCCCTCCCACTGTTGGGATATTGAAAACGAAACAATACAAAAAAAGCCATACAGAACTTTTACCCTCAGTAAACAAATAACACTGCTGAGATAACACTCTGGTTTTAGCTGTTCGGCCTTGATGGCACATGACGAGGTGAGAAAAGCTTGCCTGGCTGTCAAGGTACACAGGTATGTTGGTTTTCCCAGAACATTCATACGTCCAAGTCCCTCATTTCAGCATCTAGTTTCACTAGTAGCCGTAAAAAACACAACACTGTACATGCCTAATTCTTTTGGCGAATAAAATTCCTGGTAAAATCATTGTGCCTTTTCAGATTTCAATTCAAAATTCAAACTGCATGTTTGCATTAGACTTGAAAACTATGAAATATGGCTATCAATAAAAACATAATAACAAAGCAGAACAAATTTTTAAAAAAAGGAAGGAAAGAAAACCTTGGCCTGCTAACGTACCAGCACTGGATGTTGCTATTCTGCAACCACGCTCTTGACCTTCTGTGCATGCGGTAGTGCTAAAGATTAAAACCCATTGAGTGTTATGATTTAGTCAGACACACAGGTGTAAATGTGAACTATTCCCACAGGCGGGAGAGACACACTGACCCCCGGCACCAAGATGTCCTCTTCTTCCAGCTGGACTTTGAATTTTTTCGACAACAGATTCTTCTTGACATTGATATGTGGGAAGATGGCACAAGGTCACGTGTTGCACCGGAGATGTTTACCCATGTGATGAGACCATCACCGTGGACCGGCTCAGAGATGGCAGACCCTCCTCGCCCCGTGGCTTGACATTCTGAAGGTTATGTACATAAAGGCTGAACTCTTTTGGCTTGGACGGTGCCAGCACACATTCGTTTGATCTGCAAGACACGACAAATTTTGTTTTAATAAAATGGGTTAACTGGTACGGACACAACCAGGTGAATGTTCAACCGGAGCTCTAATTAAAAACTACTTTGTGATGAATAGGGAGAGGATGAGCATTGAAACAGGAACTCACTGTTTTTTGAGAGGAACTACATTTGAGTCAGGTACTTGTGACTACTCAGATGATCTGCAGATATTATTGGAATCTGTGGGTGGGAAACAGACAAACAGATGAAATGGAGCATCCCCAGAGCCAAAAAAGTGGATGTGGGCTGACAACATAAACACAGCTCAACACATTCTAACCACATCCGCTTGCAACAACACGCATTGCTGAAAATGGACAAAGAACATTTAAGAGTTTCAGTTGTGACGCATATACGATAAGAATCCTAAGTTGTCCGTGTTGATGACCTGGACACCCCAGGTAAATGCAGACAACAGGTCCCGGATAAAGACTGCCCACACAATGATTCATCCTCTGTTTTCACACGTCGTTTTCTGTGGCGTTGTGGAACTGTGCAATGTGACAAACTGCTCTCAAAATACCTTCAAGAGAACTGAAAGCAGAAAGTTGCAAATCCTCTTGCAGGCTGATTCTAGAACTTTTTGGATTGTGTGCATTTCAGTTCTGTGTATTTAATACTGACATCGCAGCGGAATGATTGAAGGGACAGCCACACTCTGTTTAGTGTTTGTAACAAAACACTAACTTTAACAAAGAATATATCCATGTGGAACGTGGTGAAGCTTCACATTACAAGCCGTAAGCAGCGGCGAAAAAAAGCAACAAGAAAACAGCACCAAAGGGCACAGAGAGCGACTTTTGCACAGCTTGTGCAAATAATTTAATAAAACTACCTCATACATACCAATTGCATGTATTCGTTGGTAGTCAACTTTGATAAGGAAGAGTCCTCAAAATGGGAAAGGACAAAAATCGAGGTTACAACGGGGACAAACATTAAATGCAAAGACAGTTGGTTGTAAGAGACGTAGAAATATTATGGTTAGTTCAAACTGGGCACAGTATTGCATGTTCACACATGTTGGAGGCCAACAAGAGGGAGTACCGCCTTTTACCCAAACCCGCCCCAGGCTGTAAGACACAAGCACCCCCAGATCGCCCATGTGCATCCAAAGACACAGATGAGTGTGTGTGTGGGAGAGAGAGAGAGAGAGAGAGAGAGAGAGATAGAGCGAGAGAGAGAGATAGATAGATAGAGCGAGAGAGAGAGAGAGAGATAGATAGAGCGAGAGACAGATGGAGAGAGAGAGAGAGAGAGAGAGAGAGAGGCAGTAGAGGTGCAAACCTGATTGGTGGAGGCAGTTGCGAAGGGGCTTGTGGCAGATGAGGTGGCTGCAGACACAGAGGCTGGACTACCACCGTGCATCATGGGAACTTTTTTTGGAGGGAAAATCATGTAAGCAAAAATACACAGAGGAGCAGTGTAGCCACACACATACCAGGCAAACGGAAGGAGGGGAGAAGGAGAGCGGGGGAGTCAGAGAGCGATTGGATTTAACTGCTTCCCTTTCTTCCCTCTGCCAACACTGATGAGACGTCTTGTGATTTGAGAACTCGATGTGACGCAGTGTGGCAGCGCGGACTTACTTCCACATTTGCGTGTGTTGTTAGAAGTACAGTGACCACTACTTTACTCTGGTGGTAAAACACCAGATGAGGGCAAACTTTAAAAAGTCGGACAAATATAAAGTCACGTGAGTCTTTAATGCAGAAGGTTGTGATTAAACTCCTTCAGTTTTAAAAAGATATTTCTTAGGTTTCAATAGGTGTCAGAAAAGCCGAGTTCGGAGCCAGCGTGAGGACGACAATGGTCAAGCAAGATAAAGTATAGTTGCACAGACAATAATAACAAAATAAAGTTCAGTTAAATTGATTATAAACAACAGCTGTCATACAAGTAACAGAATTGCTCTTTCCACGTGTGGAGGACTCCTGCTTATGATTCAAATCACGCAACAAAAGCAGTGACCCTCACGTCGGCAAAATGCAACTTGAAAAGTTCCAATAGGTCATTATTAATACAATGCAGTAGATTTTGATGACGTGCGAGTCACAGACACGAGGTTACAGACAACTGAAGAAGGAAAGCTGGAACCTACCAATGCTGGCTGAAGGTGTCATGCACAATATTGAGCCTGCCCATCATGCAGTGCAACAGGAAGTGGATTGGATAGGGAAGAGAAATCAAAACAGCCCATCACATGGTTCGTTAGAGTGAGGGGAGAGATAAAGTGGGGGGGAGGGGGAGGGGGAGGGGGAAAGATTAATATCTCTTTGGTCACAGTCATCAGCGAATTGGAAAAGGCAAAGTGCTCATCAAATGCTCAAGTGTGAACCTTAACTTTTGTCTGAAGTGCACTGCATATGAATGTGTAATACAAACAAGGGTGATAGTGCGGTTACGGTTAGAACCATCAGGTATTAAACATCACATACACGCTGGAGACAGAAGTAAGGCGAAGTGTACAGAAGCCTGTTTGTTGCCGTTAACCAACCCGTCCAGCCCCCTCTGATCCGAGCCCAAGCCAAAGCCCCAGCGACGGTTTCCCTCCGAATACCTCATCGCACCGCGGACACCTTTTATCTAACCAAGCGGCGACAAGGCTCCGCCTGCGCGTGCTTCTGTTGGAGGAGCACGAAGCTATGTGGTGTTTTATTAAAACAGGCAGAGCGAGATTCTAACCGATTGTTAAAAGCTATTTGCCGTGTGATCTTTCCACGCTTTTCGACTTGAAAGTTTGACTCTTGCGGGCTTGCAGCGGAGATTTACGTTTTTCTGTATGAATGTCTTTGCAAGTTCTCTCTATCCGAGAGCAAAACAAGATAATAAACAGTCCACACACAAACCGCTCCATCCTGCAAACTACCACTTTGCCCGCCCCCAGACGAGCGGGGAGCCGGGTTAGACCGATCCAGGCCTCCTCCGGGGAGGGAGGCGGATTGGGGGAGTCAGAGCACTATTGCTGGTTGCTTTGGAAGCCATACCTGATGGAAGGAAAGCAGCCTGCTGCTGAAACTGCATGCTGGCCAGAGCCTGTTGGTACTGGAGCATGCTGGTGTTAAACATGGCAGAGGCCCCGTTGGCTTTCTCCAGGGCCGCCCGCTTGGGCATGGGAGCCATGACACTAGGGGTGATGCCCTGCCCAGCCAGACGGGAGGAGGCCAGGGAATAACAGGAAAATAACAAAGAACAGAGAGAGAGAGAGAGAGAGAGAGAGAGAAGTGTGTTGGAAAGAGGCAAAAAACGGGAAAGAAAACAAAAAAGGTACATACGTTAGAGGACATTGTATAAACAGCACCACAGAATCCATGTGTGTACAACAACAATAGTCTCATCAGTAGCAAGCAAGCAGCAGTCTGACACAAGTACTAGACAAGCAGGAGCATGGTGCTTACTGGAGCTACTGGCTAACAAGCATTCATGTATTCAGTGTATTTCATTTGGAAGCTTGAGTGTTATTTACTGTGGACTTCTAAGGCTGACTAAATGCAATGTGAGCAAGCATTAACTTTTCAAACAATGAGGCTGCTAACAGGAGGGGAAACAGGTAGGAAGCACAGAGAGAGGGAGGCTGCACTGCTAGCTCCATGATAAACTGTGTAAGCCACGTTTAAGTGATGGTTCACTCTCAGACAAATGGAAAACAAATGGCCTCAGGCCAAGGGGCATGAGTCAGACGTTAAAGAATACTTTCCTGGTGTGTGTCATTTACACCATGGAGCGCTTTTTGCGCGGATTTGGTTGTGGCATTGAGGCCATCCTTGAGGGGACGGAGTGAACTATCATTTGAACTGTAATCATCTGTTATGGTGGGGTCACTCCTGTTTTAAAGGCCGCTCCTCCGAGCCCCACCCGTATCCTTCTGACATGCACTAGTAACACAGACATGCACACATTGGATTGAGCTGCTCCACAACACTGACCACTGACTTGGACGTAAGACTGAAGCCATGCCACCGTTATAGAAGCTCTACTTCCCTAGCCCTCGCTGACTTTTGTTAGATAGGCTACAGGTGATTAATTGATTGTGGCTCCCGATCGCAAACTCCACATTAGAATTGGTGTTAGAGGGGGATTTTCCGCATGAAGATAGATGTTTGGCGTTGGATGAAACCCGAACCCAGAAAGCCACAATCATTTGATCACAGGCAATAATGGCAGATCAACAGGAAGAAAAAACAGACAACGACAACAAAAATAGCAAGGTATCTTTGGTTAAACACTGCTCTACCACAAAGCCACATGCCAAGCTAAAAGGTGAAAGGTCATAGTACCAGGTCAAAGGTTGCGTCGAGGGGTCGCTTCAGTGATTTGACAGCCGACTGAGTCTTAATTAGCAGGCAGCGAGCACATGATGGCAATGGGCCAATGGGGTTCAAGCGCATTAACATAAACCAGCAAGCAGAGGTGCATCATGGGGGCAGCAGTGCAGTTTGGGTATAGGTGAGAAAAAACAAAAACAAATAAAAAAACAAATCATTGGAATGCAATATACAAGGGGATAACAGGACTAAGGCATGCACAGTGTGGACACTAGCTCTACTGCTCAACAGTTAAATGATCATCAATAATCAATGATAACTACAAATCTACATTAGTTATTGTCTCACAAAGATGGATGAATATAGCGGTGAGAATATTATTAAAACATTTATCTAAGTGAATAGGACAGAAAATGTGGGAGCACAATTCACAGGTTTGTGTTTCTTCGCAGTCAGAGCGACATGACAGCGATTCGCCCAAAGCTCTCAGCATCAATATGTCAATGAGAGCGTGCAGAAAACGGGGCGGGTTGGGGGGGTAGTCAGCGGGCAAGTTTGGCTGCACTATTGTTCACAGGTGCTGCTACTGTGACACAACACAATGAGGCATCCCTTTTAATAAGGTCAAGAGGAAGAGAAGTAATAGATAGGAAGTACAGAAACAATGGTGTCATAAATAAGACTGGACCAAAAGAGAGAGAGAGAGAGAGAGAGAAGGACGGACTCTCTGCTTGTGGTCTGAGATGAGTTGAAGAAGGAACAAGGAACATACAGGAAGTCATTTTTTTCAGATCAGGATTGGAAAATGAGCTAAATGCAATTTATTGAGAAGAATGCCACATTGTTTGATTCCTTCTTCATTTCACCGTGTTCTGAGCAGATACTACCCAAGTTTGACCTTTAGAGTTTGACCTGGCAAAAGCAGAACTGATAAAAGCTACGCTATACCAACCAGGACGTTGAGACACTTTTGTAAAAGCATGAGACACACAACACACCATTTCCCCACTGGGTGATCTTATAGTAGACAGCCCTGAGACAAAATGCAGGAATTTCCCCGACGTTGCTGCTCTAAGCCTGTGGCGTGGGTGTAAATGAGTGTGACATCTACGCGAGCGCTCACCATGGCCGCGGCGGCTGTGGCCTGGTTCACCTGGTGCTGGGCCGCCTTAATTTTGGCCTGCAGATGGGCCGGCGGGTGGAAGTACTTGCACTTTTCCCGGGAGCACCGGCCCTTGATGTAGTCCATGCACACGGTGACGGTGTTGTCGTTGGTGTCGATCATGGTGCTGTCTGAGGGGTGAGCGAAGCGACAGTCGGTCTCCCCCCGAGAGCAGTTGCCCCTCTGATACTCCCGACACACCTGGAAGCAAAGTGAGAGGACAGATGAGACACAAGAACGCTTCCTGTTTGAGGCGTTCTGGTGTCTTTATATAGAATATATGAAGTGTGTAGTAACAAACGTCTTTGTAGCTGCGTGCTGAAGCTTGAGCACTCTCACCCCATGAACATAGAATTGCTTTTGAAATATCTCTATTGGAGCATAATACTCTCTATACTATACTATTTTGGATGTGAGACACCAGGGGGCAGCACTTTCTTCGAAATGAGATGTGCCAAGAAGTCATGGGTATCACTCACGTGATCTCCTCTGCATTGAGTGTCAGCGGTGTGCGTTCAAACTCCATAACACATGCTCTACAAAACACTGCATATCCAGGCTGTTGTTGTTGTATTTTTCAAACTAATAAATAAATGGGAATTGGGAGATTTCCATTGCAGTAACAAGAAAGCTATAATTTTAGTTTCAGTTCCTCTCAGAATCAGAGAGCAATGGATTCTTTCTAGACTCTACGGTCACACCACCAGCTACTGTAGAGGGGGAAGACACGGAGGAACTTCGACCGGAATGCAATGGTGCCGCAACCAACATGGACTTTTACTAGGCTAGAAAGAACGTGTTCCTTTACTACTGCCACCGTGGAAAATGTTCCACTCAAACGAATATTCCTCGCAACAATGTTTTGCACAGACTGTATATGAACTAAGGAAGTTCATGTCAGAGGGAGTTCATGAAAAAAGCAAACAAGTCTGAAATAAGACTGTTAAGCATCATAATTTTTAACTCAGCATCATAATGTGATAAAATATTGCAGTTTATAAACTTCTGAGGGCTTTTAACTTCATCTTCTTTTAATTAGCTTCTCTTTTGAATAACGGTGCCTGCTGGCAAATTAGAACTCAGTTTGTGAAACACTTTAAGTGCAGTAAATGCTGCCGCTATTTTTACGCTTGTTAAACCACTTGTTTACAACACTTGTCATGTTTACAGGCTCGTTATAATCCCAGCCCCCCCCCCTTTTCAAGACCCGGTTCTATGCATCAGTCCGTTACCTCAAGTCTATCTGTTCTCAGCAGTTTCTGGGCCGCAGCAGCGGCAGCGTTGGGGACTTGGCCGACGTTGGGGCTGGAGGCCATGAGCACAGGGGCGCTGGGCATTATCTCCTGGGGCATCAGGCCTGGTGACATGGGACTCAAGTAGGGATTGAAGGCTGCGGCTGCGGCTGCTGCCGCCGCGCCGGCGTTGGTGGCCATGCCCGGCGCCATCGAGAACATGGGCTGGAAGGGAACCAGAAAGGAAAGCGGTAGAATGAAATAATTATGTGTGCACAGGAACCACAAGCTGCGAGCTCGTTGTATGGGAAAAGAGAGGGACCGACGGGGAGACGTGTATCTGGTCTCACCGTGTGCAGCAGCTGTAGTGTGTTCATACGTGTGTGTCCTCTCACCATAGGTGGTAGCTGCGTGCCGGGCATCATGGCGTTGGCGAGATGCATCTGTTGGGCGAGCATGACCATGTTCTTCTGCTGGATCAGGTTGTTCCTGCCGTTGATCTCCAGCTGGGTCTTTAGGTGCGGAGGCGGGTGCAGGTACTTGCAGTTCTCCCTGGAACAACGGCCCTGAAGGCGGCACGCGGAGGTGACAGAAAGGAGCCGTGAGAATCACACGGGAACTGCAGGACTTTAAAATAGGACAAGCAGGCAACCAATCACGTCTATGTTGTGGTATGTTGGATACCGAGGTCACTGGCTGAGGATGCCGTGCTATCTCACTGTGGCTGCCTCTTGTCGGTCGGACATTTGGGATTTCAGATGATTGCGGTGATCACCTGACTTTCCCTCTGGTGCCGCTATGAGGTTGAAACCTCAATTATTAGGTAGATTGATATAAAATTAAACCTCTGACTTTTCCTCTCGAGCCAGTCTGAGCTGCACTTTGTGTTTCTTTGCTAATTATCAAACGTTAGCATGCTAAACGAAGACACCATGGCTAAAGTTAGCATTTAGCACAGCATCTAATGTGGTCTTTGGGTACGCTGACAGCTCGTCAACTTTTAATCCAGAATGATTGAAACAGTACAATGAAAATGGACAAATCACAATGTGAATATGGCGGGAAAAAAGTTAATTTTTAAGAAATTAAATAAGTGAAATACACCAGAAAGGCTTGATATCAGACCATCCATTTCACATCTGACCTGACCCGGGTCCAGCACTAATTGATACCAGCTTGCTATTCCTGTCGGTCCCGGCAGGGACGTGGGTATGTGTGTGTGTGTGTGTGTGTGTGTGTGTGTGTGTGTGTGTGTGTGTGTGTGGGTTTGCGTGTTTGACAAACACCGTAGCTCTGATCCCCAGACATCCGACTGAGCTACATTTCTAACCAGCGCTATAAATACTGTCCACTGATATGATTGGTGTATATTGTATAAGCAGTCACCCGGAGGTCACACTACAAAGTCCCTGACTAATTATCCGAGACTCGGGTCCCTTTTTGCCTCCTGCTGTGAGTAGCCGATTCAGTCTGAGGAGGAGTAGTCTGGAATAATGGTCTGACACATTCCTTCTTCGGCAATATTATGCGTACACACACTAATGTGTGCCTGGCGGGGTCGTGTTCGGATGACAGGTGGCGGGGACACGTTTCGCAAACATTAGGGAAACGCACACGCAAAACACGTCCACAATGTAAGAAAGACGAGTATTTACTTTCAGCCCTGAGGCACAGCTGAGCGGACGCTGACAGGCCTGACCCCTATAGGATTCATGTCCATAACCCTTCGTCCCCCCACCCCCCCTTGCCCATCTCCCTCACTTTCACTGACACTGGAGCAGCGGACAGGTGCGAGGGAGAGAGGGTGAGGAGAGGGTGAGGAGAGAGGGACACTTAAATGGCAAGGGGAAGGCATCTTTAAGATGTTTTTATTTAGTCCATATAGAAGTTGCCATCTCAAATTCTCATTTTATTGCCTTGTTAGAAGCCAAGTCTCTTACATTCGGTGTCCTCATTACCTTCTGTCACTGCCTCGATGACGTGGCGTTCGGTTTTGGTTGAGTTTAGAATTCAGAAGACTTCGGACACTGAAAACACTCTCAGGTGTGTGTGTGTGTGTGTGTGTAATCCTGCGTGTCGTACATGTGTGAGAGGTGAGAGGAGCTGAAAGGCGCTTCTAACAGCGCTCATCCAGAGAGTGGCAACGGCCTGCAGCTGCGGTGCAGAGAGATGGTGTTTGTGTTGCGTGCGTGAGTGCAGAGTGGGCGTTGCCTTCCCCCCATGTGACCCTGTCCGTCGACGGCGTGATGCACAGCTGCACGTGGCTCTGTGCAGGTTTAAGGTGGGAGCGCAACACGTGGCTTTGACTTCAACCAACTGCATTCGCCATTCTGCCGGAAAAAAAAGGAACCATAAAGGCAGCCATTTTAAAAATGAAGAATCAGGTCCCAGAAGAGGAAACGCCAGGCTTCATAAGTAGGGGAGAGAAAGAGAGAGAGAGAGAGACACTCACAAAGTGACTGAGAGCTGCGTCAGGGAAATTTTTGAGCTTGCAGATAGAGAGAGAGAGAGAAACGGAGAGGAGGAGAACGACGTCGCCTCTCTCACATCGTGTTTGTGGCTGTTATTGTGACATCAGCGGCCTTGAGGAGCAGCAAGAGGCGGTGTCCACGGCAACAGAGCAGCCAGACACTCCTGCTCCAACAACAGCCTCTGAAGGACTGCTGCCCCTGAATGGGGACGCAGCTAGAGATTCTAAAGACAACAACCAAATCTATTCATTAAGCATCGCCGGTCTGTGCTGCTAATACAACCATCGTGAACATGCTGATTTACCACCGCTTTTTGTTCTCCAGCAGGGGACCCAACACCGGAACCGACAATTACACTATCTCATCATACCGACGCTATTTAAAGTCTTTATGCAAAAATAATGATGGATGTGCTACGGAGAGCCACGGGGGGCTTCAAAGCATTTATTTGTCATGGCACGGTGAGAAAAGTACCTGATGACAATAGGATCAGCTAATAGACTCGTTCAGTCGTCAGAATGATGAAAGCAATGAAAGGGGCGCCTGCACGCCATCGGCTGACTGCACGGCGTCAGTGCAGGTCGATGAGCACAGGGTCGTAACATTTTGTCTACCGTCATTGAGGAGTGTTCTTCTTCCAGTCTGATCAAAGGCCATAAACAATTCAAAAAAGTTTGAATATTTCACAAACAGGTCGTCAATTATTGGCTATAACTGCAGATTACATACAGAATGAATCATCGAACAATTATACGTTAATATTACTATTTCAGAAGAAGTGCAACATCTGCACCCCCCCCCCGCCTCCTATAAGGCGATGAGCTTTCTCCGGGTGACATCAGAGTTGCTAAACTCCAATATGGGAATAATAATCCCGCAAAGGCTACCGTTCGTTCACACTGATGTTAATAACGCGTCCCACCCAGATCGCACTCTCCTGTAACCCTGCCTCTCTCCCGTGCACACCCACCCGCCTTTTGTGACTGTGTGGGATTTAAACAAACAATGAAGCAATGTGTAAAGAATGCTGGGTGGGGCCGCATCCCATCCATCTGAGGTGGCGAGACGAAGCATGCGGCAAGATGTATTAATGCGCATGTGCTTCGAGAGGGGAAGCGCAAAACAGGGGGAGGCGTCGGGAAGAGAGAGAAAGAGAAAAAAAAACGGGCCTCCGCTTCTGCTTCTTGACTCGTTGTACAGAAGCGGCGAATGGTTCGGGGGCCGTACGTTTCTGATCTGCTGCTACGTGACGGACCCTGGCGACCATCACCGTGTTTGGAGGAAAAACAAAACACAGTGATGAAATATCGGGTTATTTCAATTTAAGCATTTATAGAGGTCTTGTCATAGACATCTTTTTTTTTTTTGAGATGTGCCAAGAAGTGTTCTATGCAACACACTTGGTAAACCGGCTATGCCTTTTCTCAAATATGAACACATATACATGTCTAAATACACTTTTCTGCTCCCTGTGTGTGGCGGAACAATGCGGGCTGTGGTGTGAGGCGCCACTGTTCTCTGCCCCGCGTTCCGGCAACTACTGTCCAAACAGGCGCACACATGAAAGGCCGCTCTCCTCACACACACGCTGTGAATGAGGCTTTGTTTTGCTGGCGAGCAGCGGACCCTCATCGGCCCCGTGCTCGGAAATACAGTGCGCAATAGAAGGCCCACGAGCAGGTTCTAGTCAGTGAAGTAGCACGCAGAATAGAGGAAAAGTCCATTAAATGTGTTGAATAAGAAATAAAGCTCACTCACAGTTAATGCTAGACTTCTACAGTGAAGCATAAATGTTTTTTCTTACTTAACGCTGCATTTTAATTAGCGGTAACGTTTTCCAAGGGCACAAAAGAGACGTTAAGAGATCTGCAGGATGCTTCCACTTGCATTTCTTCAATCAAACCACAGCAGCATTATGTGCTTAATAGTTACAGCATGGACACCGGTGACACATTAACAACCATCACCAAACAATGGCGGAGAGGATTGTGGGATAGAACGCGGACCGCTCGGAGAGGGATGAGCCGAGCCAGAGGTGATCGTTACCGTCATCGATCATTTTCAGAAAGTAACCCAAAAGCAACGGTGCGCCGTTGGAAGGCCGTCTCAGTCAATGCTCCGTCAGAAAAACACAAACATGCAGCCACACACACACACACACACACACACACACACACACACACAGGCCGCACTGTTTGTGTAGACACAAACAAGGCTGACGCACACTGAGCGAGGAGTTATTCACACTTGACAGGGTGTTGGTTCTGAGAAATGCCTCGGGTCAGATGTCGCGTACACAGGAGCCTTCGCTCCAAACTTAGACCTCTCTGCCCCCCCCCCCCCTATCTCTTTTCACACCAAAACACACGTTCTGTTGACTTTATCGTTGCTGGTTTTTGCGGCGTCCGTCCGACACGCAACTTTGCCTCCTCTCCTGTGAGGCCTAACAAGGTCACTTCTCAACTTTTCATCATCCGTAATCACGGAGCAATCTCCCGGGCATTGATTGGAGCAGCAGTACTTTATGAAAGCCCACCAGTGCTCGCTGTGCGAGGAGGCCTGGGAACGTTCATTTAATCATTTCTCAGCTGCCCTTCCCAGTGGGAGAGAGACAGAGGAGTCACCGCGCACAAATGACAAGGTTCTGGCCAGTAACAACGCTTTGTTCCCGAAATGACCTGATCATGAGGTGTGCCCCTTTTCTCGGGTTGTGAAGGGTTAACGACCAAGGTCTGCCATGTATCTTAATCAGCCATTTCTTAACAAATTAACCTGAAAGTTGAATGTTCTGGTGAAACCAAGAGTTAGACCTCTGGTGTCTCAGCGGAGCATCTGTATCGAAAGCAAATGTGTCGACAGTCTCGATATGAGGCAAAAGTAATGGAGGCACACAGGAAGAAAAAAATCATTTGAAAGAGACAGAAAAGAAGTGTTGTGCACGTTTCCCTCCCCCCTCCTCCTTCTTTTCATCTCCCTATGCAGTCTACACTCGTGTTTCTACCACTTCCGAGCAACCGTTTTGCAATGCATCTATAAACATTGCTGAAACTCTTACAGAGGGTTTAGACGCACTCGTTTTGTCTTTTACAAGCCTT